GGTCTCAAGTTGCAGTGGGGGAGGTTTAGGTTGGATATTAGGAAAAAGGTTTTCACTAGGAGGGTGGTGAAGCACTGGAATGGGTTACCTAGGGAGGTGGTGGAATCTCCTTCCTTAGAGGTTTTTAAGGTCAGGCTTGACAAAGCCCTGGCTGGGATGATTTAGTTGGGGATTGGTCCTGCTTTGAGCAGGGGGTTGGATTAGATGACCTCCTGAGGTCCCTTCCAACCCTGATATTCTATGATTCTCACTCTAAGAGATTATACAAGCAGGCTGCAGATTCTTAAGGGGCAAGCTGCACTTGGGGGTTCCAAGCTGTAAAGCCAGGTGTTTTATTCACAGACTAAAAATCCCTTTAGCCTGGGTTCAGCACTTCCCCCAGTTCCGTCTTTGCTGCTCAGGTGTTTCCAGGACTCTTCCTGGGTGAGGAGTGAAGAACGTCAGATGATGTCACTCCCTGACCCATACAGCCTTTGCATATGGCGGGAACCCTTTGCTCCCAAAACTTGGTTCCCAAACTGGTCCGTGGAAAAACACTGACATCCCAAGAGGGGAGTCCAGAGACATGTGGTCTCACCACATGTCCCTGCAGAGTCACAGCAGCCATCGCTCGGTGGCTGTCTGAAGCGCTCTCAGGAAGGCTCCCCAGGTGGGAGACAAGCCTCCCCCCAAGGCCCTCTGTTTTTTCCCCAATGGCCCACTGCCCTGAACAGGCTCTACCTTTCCCACCCACCCACCATCGAAAGCATCCTATCCAGCGGGCACCACCCAGATGCAACTACACCTGAAATACAGATACGTAGTTAATATTCATAAGCTCAGACACAAAAATGATACATGCATACAAATAGGACAAGCATATTCAGCAAATCACAACCTCTCCGACGACACCTTACATGACTTATCTTGCATAAAATACATCATAATTATGTCATAATGACATCACAACAATGTGACTGCGAAGAACTTGGGGTGCGTGTCACGCCTACCACTAATAAAAAAAATCCTGAAAAACCTATATTAACCTAACTATATAAAAGAGTAGCCAAGTCACAATGTGTGCAGAGAATCAGACAGGGGATCTGTCTCACCACCAAAGGAATTAAGAAGAAGAAACTGAGGGACAGCAGAGCCCTCTCTGTCCTTGATGCCTGCAGGTGGGACGGCACAGGGGCATCCAGGGCACACGCACCGGCCATCTTGTCTGACTTTCTGCACATTGCAGGCCACAGAACTTCACCCACCCACTCCTGTAATTGACCCCCTAACCTCTGCCTGGCTGAGTTACTGAAGTCCTCAAATCATGACTTGAAGACTTCAAGTTACAGAGAAGAGCCATCACTTGAAGAACTACAAAATAAATAATTTCCCCTTTACATCTAATTCCATCTTCGGAGGGCTCTTACTCTTGAAGAATAAGCAGCTCAAGTGACATCTAAAAATAAAACTGAGCCATCCATATGACATCAAGTAGTGATTGATGTGTGTCTGGCAAGAAGCTGCAAACCTGTTTACATATATGCACTAAATAATAGCAGTCAAATTGTCTAGAGTCCTGTTAACTGCACAGCTGTTTGGCAAAGCTATGATCAATGCAGAGGTACTGGAGCAGTCTGTAGACTTAGGAAAGAACTCTACTCTACTTCGTCTGACATGCATCTGACGAAGTGGGTATTCACCCACGAAAGCTTATGCTCCAATACATCTGTTAGTCTTAAAGGTGCCACAGGACTCTCTGTTGCTTTTTACAGATCCAGATTAACACGGCTACCTCTCTGATACTTGACAACTGTACTCTGGTATGCCCTGTGTATGCTTGTGAACACCTCTGCAACCATAAAACTACAATTTTCCAGGTTTTTGAATGAAAGCTCAAATACTGAAGAAACTGACGCTATAGGTCTCGTCCTCTCAACAGAAGATTTCTCCTTGCCCCTTAGTGGATGCACATATAGCACATCTTCTCTTAGGTATGCTCTTAAACATAATAGAAACACTGATGTACATGCATAGTACTTGATTTCCAAAATCTCACAGCTTGCGCAAATGAAAAGCAGTTTCCCCGCTACAACAAGGCCATAAACTACCACTCAATAAATATTTCTATGCTAAACTGCAACTTCCACGCTTCAGCCATCAAGGTTGTAGTAACGGACCACTCAAAATAAGGGTTGTGAAGTACTGAGACTAGAGTAGAAGCAGCCCTCCTGGTTCCCAGTCATTTACATGTTCCCTTAGGCTCGGAAGCTTTTTCCGCAAGAAAAGCAGCAGGAAGATCCCGTTTACCACCACACCCTAGTTTCCCAAAACACTTGGAAGTACTAATTTGAAACGTTTAGGGTAAGTAGTGATGCACATACGTAATGAACTTAGCAAAAAGCTACTGCATATGTTCAGAACATGGATAGTCATCTGCAATTCTGGGTACTTCTTTGTACCATTTGAGGCTGACTGATCACTTGTCCATAATAACATCAATACATGCCTATGATATCAGACCCATGAAGAAAATACAAGTTATCCACATTTGTGTAAGGAAATATAAATAAAATCATCCCTTTTATGCTGACATGATACCAATCACCATTAGTGAGACCCACTCATGCACACTGAGAAAGATAGAAAAGATCTAACATTTAAATCAATTTATACACTTGTCACTAAATTTACTCCCTCACAATCTTCTAACACAAATGTGCAACTGATTAGCCACACAAACTTTACTCTTGTAAAAGAACAGTACTGTACATTCAGATATTTGAACAGGACCCATATCATAAAACCACTGGAATTTATAGCCACTCCAAATGAAAGATTATTAAAAAAACAATGAGGTTTAAACAAATATGAATTTACCTTGAACATGAAGACTGATGAACAGATAGGCTCCCAGTAATCTGACGTATACTTTCAGTTGAGTCATTGTTCACTTTTAATCCTTCCCGTGCACTGTCACCCTTAGCAACTGGCCCTGCTGCTTGACAAATTTTAAACTTGGTTTGTTCAGTGAAGCCTGATGAGATTTGGTGGCGGACAGTAGTGATGATTTAATAAATATTCCAACTTGTCTCCTGAAAGAAAGTGAAATTAAGGTGTTTAGCAAAAGTTTAAAATTCCTCCAAGCCTTCTGAAACAATTAAAAAAAAAAAAAAAGGAAAAAAATAGACAAG